GTGATGCCCAGCAGCTGTCGGACTGTCGGATGATGCCGAGCTCGAGCATGTGTTCGAACTCTGCCTTGGCAATCTTCAAACGGTCCGAAGCAAGACGACGTGGTCGGCAAGATTTGGGAGGTCCGGTGGTGGAAATGTGGTGGGTGACTGTGTGTTTGATGTCCACTCCTCGAAATGAGGGGTTGGTCAGGCGGGGGAACTGCCTGAGCAGTGAGTGGAAAGGACAGTCAGAGATGGGCATAACAGTGAGAGGGTTGACGCAGGGGTTCACATTGGATTGACAACGGGCATGAAGGTCGGTGATGCAGTCGACGAGTCGGCGATTCTTCAAATCGACTAGTAGATTGAAGTGAGCTAGGAAATCGGCACCTATGAGGGCGACGGAGACGTCGGCAATAATGAAAACCCATCGGAAAATTCGACGAAGGCCCAAATCAAGTGTGATGGAGCGCTGCCCAAAGGTGGGGATGCTGGAGTTGTTGGCAGTTGTAAGACAAAAAGAGCTGCGGGTTTTGCGTTCGGCCGGAGTTGGTGGAACCACGCTAACCTCGGCACCAGAGTCGACAAGGAATTTGGCGCCAGCGATACGGTCCCAGAGAAACAAACGGCGAGTGTGGAGATTGGCAACGCTTCCAGCAGCAGTGGACTCTAGTGTCGGGTGGGATTGTCTCCCTGAGGCCGTTAGAGATGCCTTGAAAGAGCATGGCTGAAGACATCGTCGAGCTGCTCCTCCAAATTGTTGGTGATACCAACAGACGCTACTTGGAGATTGTGGACGGCGGGTGTGGGAAACGGAGGAAGTAGGGCGACGGTTTGGTGATCGCCGCGGGCCGTTAGTGGTAACTGCAGTAAGCTGGGCTTTCAGGCGCATTAATACCTCCTCGAGCCGATCCAAGCGTACGCTAGCTCCTTGAGAATTTGGGTTAATGAGTGACTTCTGGTCTTGGGACATCGCGCTGTAGGTCGCCGGAAGATTGTTGTTGACGAAAAGTTTGCGGAATTCCAGTGTTCGGAAATTCGGGGTCACCAATTTGTGCCGGTCAAGGATGTGAGATCAACTTAAACCACGCACAATAAGTTCGTTTCGTCTACTGTCAGAAGTCAGGGAGCTGTGAGGACTAGTTTATTCTGTACACAGGGCAGGTTGCCGTAAGTTGGCGGTTTGCTTGCAACAGAGAAAAGCGTCCGTTCACGGAGAGCGTCAGTCGCGGTGTGTGTTGCTTACGCGGGTGTGAGTGTCAAGGTCAGCAGGAGGGGGTGACTGGCTAAGTGTTGGTTGTGTGATTGGACAAATTAGGGGATGAATGGAGGGCGCATACTCACGAGGTCTCACGGGAATCAAGCCAGAGCGATCGACGCGCGTTAGGTGATACTAGTTTGTGAGGGCAGCCGGGAGTCACTGCAGCTGGACAGGAGGGGCCCCAGTTCTAGCCGGTGTGGGTGGTCGTGTGTCAGCGGCCTGTCAGTGCTTGTCACGGCCATCGACCGACAAAACGGAGCCGGAGAAAAGGGGGGCTGGAGCGACTGTTACAGAATATATAGAATGTATTTTATATCAAAGACGTAGGAAATATGAAAGTAGAAATAAAATAAGATCTAATAATAGTGTTTCCGTGAAGTTAACATTTAAATGGCGTTTAATAGTTAGTGCAATTTCATATATGACGGTTCGTCAACTGCCTACATTTTGAGTGTAGATTCCAAAACGGTTTTCCAGAGATTCGTGATGGTCTTGACTCGTTTGAGTTAAATGAGATAGGCTTCAACAAGAGAAACTGGATTTTGCTTGATTTCAACGATGGGGACGTCGTAGGAACACACGTTTTCATAAGGTGACATGCTGTCAGGCCTACAGTGCCTAATAAAATTAAATAAAACTGACAGACATGATCGCAGACGAATTATTTTTTGTTTATACACAGGACCTTTCTTCGTTAAAAATTAATGTACACTTTTAGTTTGTTTTGGAATACGATGCGTTTCAGATCAGCCTCGGAATTTTGCTGAATGCATTATGATTCTCAGTATTTTCACCTGATCGTCCATAAAGACAAATTCTAAATTACCTGTCTGTTGAGACCTTTAAAATAAGATTATTCTTGAAGACATTCACCGAATTAGTGAGTGATTGGATGCTCCCTTTTACGTAGATGCTCGTTGGGTCACATATGAAGAATCATTCAAACATCAAACTTCATTTTCAAGAAAAGTGGCTGTCCACGACGACAGTCAGCAACGAATATGCCTTATATAAATAAGAAAACTTTTTTGAATAAGTTAACTTTTTTTAAGAAATGTTTTATTACTGCAATCCGTTTACAGATCTCTGTGTAATTTGCATTTCTGCACCGTGGAGGCAAGTAAAATGTTGACACTTTTAACCTTTTCTTTCACGTCCCTAAGAAACACAAATACATTTTTCCAAAGTAAACATAAGAACATGTATTGCTCTATACATTAAGGCCATTTTCACTGTTTTTCTGGCTTTTAAACTCCGTTCTTTGATTATGAATGCACGACAGAGCGCCCATATAAATACTAATATTTTGCTGAAACTATTAATGTTTTGCTCGTTCTATTTCTGAATGAGGTATGGACAGAAACTAAACGACACGACAAGTAATGTTTCATATGTTTAAAGCTGGAAATGAATTTTATGTGACATCAGGTAGCATTTTCCAAATGGCAAATAAATTTCAGCCCACTTAAACGAAGGAATCCCTAGATGCTTTATAAGTGCATTTTGGGGCCCCAAATATCACAGATATGCTAATTTGACGTAAATACAATTTCTGCATAAGAAAAGGACATTTTATTGAAGTGAATAGATGAGCGAACAAAATGTGCGACGTTGAAGACTTCCGAAAATTCCCGTATCCGTTTCCGTTATAAGATTTCAGGAGATGGGTCAGTTAATGCACCTATTTGGGCCGGATTATGTATTCCTGCCTGTTGTGGAGAGCGCAGGCGTCGTGGGATCACGTACAAATGCGAAAGTAAGACTTGACAACGAGCCGAATGGAGGACCAAGCCGGCGGCGTGACACACCCGCGAAGATGGGCGGCCGACCAACGTGAACTGTAGCGCTGAGCACGTGCGGTGGATTTGCTCACGCGTGCGAACCGATCAATGGCTGGTCAAACATTCGAGACTTTTCCATGGGGGGAAGGGAATTCTCGCGCACGCCACGGCCCGTCCGCAACCGGCGCGCCGTGGGCGGGGACATTCTAGAACGCTCTTAACCGCCGGGATGCTCCAGAGCGCACAGTGGACAACATAAGTAAGTCGCCTATCTGACCAGATGCGACCCCCTGCGTTCGCAACCTGTGACGAAAGTGCTTTTCTCCGTACCAGATCTTTATTGTCCAACCTATCCTTTCGCCACATCACAAAGTACATCTCATGTCTAGCGCATGGCTATGTCAGGCTGTCGCCGCGTCAGTAGTTTACCCTTTCTTGAGTACTTTGCTTGTTATAGTAAAATTAATTAACATTTCCAAATACTCAGCAACATAATGCTTCCTCATAAAATAAAAAGTATGTGTATTGGAACGACTCGACAGGGTGAGTGGTTTCCATACAGATAATAGGGAGATCAGGGGTAGGGCTGGGGGTAAGGTTTTAGTTAAGGGCAAAGGCTAAGGTTGGCAATTCTAATAAGACTTGGTTTAGGGATTGAGTTTGAATTCAGTTTCAATTATGGTTACTATAAAGGGTTAGGTTAAGTTGTTGATACTCACTTTTCCTGCAATCGATAGCAAGTCCATATGCATTTTGGTGGCCTGTGTCTTATCATGGTATAATTTGTGTGGACAATGAGCGACTTTTTGCGTCCGGATTTGCCGCGCAGTCTTCATGTGACTAATATATCGTTCACGATGTCGACGATACATTTTTAAATTACTCTCAAAACCTTCTTGTAATGAGGAGATTATGGATTTCACTTGAGTGGGAGGTACTTTCGCCTTCTAGGATGTAATTCACAATAACCTCAAAAGGCGACGACCTCCGATTTTCGTAGAATTAACGTCAGTTCAGATGCAGTAGAAAATGCAGAAATCTTGGCTAAGAAGCAATTGCTATTTATAAGAAAAAAATAATGGTGAGTATACGGATCAAAGAAGGCCTGAGGCTATATCTAGGGCTTCGATGCTGGCAAAAAGAAATAAGATGTGAAGCGCGGGAGTAAGAATAAGGAAAACATAATGTGGCGTCGAAAGTAGTAAAGCGAATCGCTGAGTTGTTGTTTGACCTTCAAGCGGTGGGAAAAGCATTGTTCTGTAAGTTTCCCTGACAATGTTCGCGAGCGAAGGCAGAGCAGACGTCAGAAGAAGAAGAAGAAAAAGTCGAACTGAGAGCCAATAATATTTACGCGAAATAAAGGTTGCAAATATATAAATGGCGATCAAAACGAAAGCAAGGTTAGGCAAAGCTTCGAAAATGCTAACGATAACACAGTGGATCAGAAGGCTCCGGGAATTTGTGACATATCTCCTGTTAATAATAGGTAAGTAACAGAAAAAGAGGTCTATAAAATGATCACAAAATTTCAAAGATTCTTTAAATTGCGTGGGCGAAGGCATTAATAATTAACGTGCCATAGAATATGACTAAATCAACAAAATCTGATATTACGATTATCGACATTAGCATTCAATTGGATATTTGTTTACTTCCAGCAAGCCCATCCAAATACCCAACATATGAACCACCAGTCTATGAAATCTGCAAAGGTGAACACACAGAATGCACCTCCGTCATTTACAGAGCAGAAGATGAAAGCAAGGGTTCAGACTGCCGTTTAGCCTGCGCAAGACATCGAGGTCTGTACCTTCCTAACTCATGCATTCCTACTGTTCGTCAATTCTGTCTGCTAAGTCTCGCTAATTTGCATGTCCCTACGCAAAATCAGAATTTGTGTATCTATTGGACGGTTGCCTTTCATTCAGAAAACCTAACGGAGAATTTGACCGCATACTTTTGTGAGAAACCTGACAAGCCCTGCATTCCGTACACCGTTTCCGGACGGAAAGATTACAGCGAGAACTTCGAAAGACACGTGATGTGTGTCAAGGTTTGTCACTTTGTCGGAAAGGGTAAGCTACCTCATCGTACGTCAGGGATTCTTGGTATTTCTTCTAATTAGCCGACATAATGCTTCATAGGTTTGCAGGGGTCAGTATAAATTATTTTACGTATTTTCATGCTGCTAATTATCTTAGCCAAGACAAATTATCTGTTCAATTTTAGCTGAGCACAGCGCTGCAAATTCCTTTTCACTGTGCTCAAACACTATGGACTCATGCGCTGAGATAAAGAGAGTAAATGGAAGCTTCGATGCCTTCAGCCGATGTGCTTTCAAATGTGATGGATGGACAAATCGTAGGTGCTCCATGATTTCATTATATGACAGTTGATATTTTTCAGCTTTATTGCTATATGCTTTGGTACTGAGGTTGCTACATCATGTATTTTTGTTCAAGCGGAAAACAGTCGAGAAAACACAGCCTTCTTCACAATTGAAAACGGCTCTTTGGAGGAAGGCAAATACTTTCGAACCCGAAGGGCGGAAATGCGTTTGCTGGCCTGAAGAATTGCTTGGGGACTTGCATGTCAGGTGATGCTCAGAATTCTTTATTTGCTCTTTTTTCTTTTACTATTGATTTCGTTTTCAAATCTGCATCCGCACGATTATGCCTAGACTCCCTTTTTCCTGCTATAATTGCACACATTTTTATTTCGTTTACTTAATTATTTCTTTTTTTCGTTTTGGTTACGATACTCTGCATAACTTTCTATTCAATAATTTATCTCTCTCATATTTTCTTTCGCATGCAATATGACCATAGTCGGCTGAGATGCGATAAGCATTTCTCTTTGATAAATAGAAATCTAGTGAACTAATATTCGAGCATTGTTATTTTTACGCACGTTTTTTTCTTTTATAGCGTGAACTTTCGCAGCAACAGTTCAGTGTCTGAAGACATGTTTTCTTTCGTTTCATTTTTGATTTTTCATTGCTGTCTTCATTTTAAAAAAATAAAATCTTTTTTTTCTAACAAATGGGTGGATTTATACAGTTTGTAACACACTGTGTAGCTTTCAGGGTTTCGGCTCAGTTTGCACAATTTTAAAGGCGCACGTTGCATTCTTCGTCTTAGGCTTTTAAAAATATACGTCTAATGAGAGATAGTCTTAACGCCCTACCACAGCGAGATATATTGCAATTCCAGATGTTTTCGGCTTTCAGTAGAAGAACGTCTGTCAGGATAAGACTCATATAACACAGGTCAGACACAGGAATTTGTTTTGTCAAAATGAGTAAACTTTCATCTAGTACTTTATGGGATAAGAGCGAACATCGATGACTCATCCATACTGCCCTACTTCAAAGTGCATTAGGAAACAGCTGTCTCGACGGTTTCAACCAGTTATGTGTATGGCGAAGTTCAGCTTCAGAAGATTTCAGACAGCAACGTTATTCCTCTAATTTAAGCCGCTAAAACAGTCACCAATCAGAGGAATATGCGACCGCTGGAAGAAGGTCTTTATTCACATCTTTGCTTGTAACAGTCACCAATGCTGAGCAAAATTGGGTCCAGATGTAAATGTTATTTGCAGTTCTATCAGTTCATTCACGGCAGGCCTTTCGTCATTTACATAGATTACTAGCTCCTAAAGATACTTCTTTGCCACGAAGATTGGTATGACGCCGTGTGTGGCCAGTCGGATACAACGATAAAGTAATACTCTCCTACGATATGAGTTTACAATCCATATGTGTCCGTTTAGAATTTTCGACCTCCGGACAACTTAGTATGACTGTGCGCAAGGGAAGAAAATAAAGTTTTGGCTGTCGCAAGTATGCTGATAAAAGATGATGACGGGTTTTGATAGGTTAACTTGTATTTCGGCCCCCTGGATTCGGAGGAATGGGAGCGGCTTAGACAAAATTCGCCCATCTATAGAACCCTTCACTGATATCTTTGAGATTGCAACCACAGAAACCGACATCGCTGCCATCCTAAATGCTGCAAATCAGGCACATCCGTCGATCAAATTCACGTTGAAGATGGAATCAGCTGGTTCCCTTCCTTTCTTAGATGTCCTTCTAAACAGCAGATCTGACGGCAGCATCCGAAGGAGCGTCTATCGGAAGAAAACCTGGTCTGGACAATACACGAACTTTACTAGTTTCGTACATCTCCAACAAAAACGGAATCTAGTGAGGTGTTTGGCACAAAGGGCTAGAAAAATTTGTTCAAAAGATAGTATCGAGGAGGAACTTTAAAAAATCCATGAGATGAATCGCGAAAATGGGTATCCTGACAGGTTCATTGTAAAGAACATTGGCGACCGAACCGCAAAACCGACCACACTAACCGCCGAAAAGAAAACGTTGTTCCTCAAATCCCGATTTTAAGCAGACGCTGCATGTGAACTCCTAAGAAGACGCCTTGACCAATCTGTCTCGGGAACCCTCCCAGCAGCAAGAGTTCGCATATCATTCTCTACTAACCCTATTTTACGCGGCGAATGCAAGAATAGGCGGCCAACTCAGACCGCTCCAATGTGCATCTACTCATTCTCATGATCCCGTAGAGCAGGTTACATTGGTCGTACGAGTCGGCGCCTTTCCAAAAGAATACGAGAACACCTTCCCGCATGCCCCGCAAAGGGTGAAACTAAGAGAATAGCCAGCGCCATCCATGCGCATGCAGTGGACGCAGGGCATCGTGTGGACCCCACTGAAGCATTTTGTGTGATTAACAAGGACCCCTCGAGCTACCCTAAGCTACTGGGCCAGCGCCTGTTGGCAACGGCAGAAGCGGCCGCCATAAGGTAACTAAAACCGACCCTATGCGCCCAAAAGAACCTTGTTCAGGCTCCGCGCTTACAGTGGTCAAAGGTTGACTAACCACGTGCAACTTTCTGCGCCCTTCCGCTCTAGCCTAACCTGTAATTTAAAACCTTACTTTTATCGATTTTTGTTTCATTCACTGTACCCCGCCCAATGCAACTGTACTGGCCTAATGAGATTAAAGCGAAAGGAACTTTCACTCGCCACTGTCTCTTCTGAACATAATAAATAGTCCTACATTGCAGACGACTGTGCAATACATCATGGTAGGGTTGTGTTTCCAGCCAGGTATCAGCAACACGTTTTCAGAAGGCTCCAGTCCGGACATTAGAATAGGACACCCATGATGGAACTGGCTCGAAGTAGGTACATTTCACCGGAACTAATTACGACGTGGAATCGCCCTTCGATGGCCGAATGTGTTAAGACCGTGTAGTATAGTCCATACAGTCTACAAGGGACCGCTCATGAAAGAAATATTTTTAAGATTGTTAGACTTTCTTTCCGAAATGGTTAGACGATCTAGAAGTACAAGTAGCAACTTTAAATTTCACACTCGGGAATTTGGTGGATTTAGCGCCCATTACGTTGTCTCCGGACACTGAGACCGAAAATGAAAGGTAGTTTACGTTTTCCCAATTTCATTAATTGTGCTTAACAAAGAGTTCGGCACACGACGTCCCGATTTTTCCACATGTAACCGAATGCGCAAGATGAAAGCTTTATCAACACCGTTGAGAAGACGAAAAAATATGCGGAGAGAAGTAATTATACCACTGTCGGCAGCTTTTCTTAAACCCAACGCATTACCTCCGGGGCCAAAATGAATAAAAAGTAGCCCGATGTTTAGTTTCATTTTCCGGAACCAGAGGCGAGGGTAACGCAGCTTCATTTAGATGAGGTGACAACTCGTGGACGAAAAGTACGTGTGGAAAACCGGAGACGTAGTAATTACATTTGGATCCACAAAATGCCTACTCCAGAGGCAGGCCAACCAACTTAGACGTCAGGTGGATTAGAACGCCATGTTGTTGACCAAGCTCTTTTACGAGAGCTTTCAAAATTCAAATCCCTGGGAGGAGCAAGAAGTGCCGTCGTCGGCGTTTCGGAAATGTTCGAGGCGAATGCAGCCTCCAAAACACTTGTGGTGGACCGTATGGGTTAACGGAGAGCGCCCGAAAACGAAGCCGAGTTAAATCCGCACGGAAAAACAGGCATTGCACGTCATCTGGTTCGAAGCAACACAATCAAACCAGAAGCGATCGCAGAAGCCCCGGGGCCCAGAGTGAAAGACCCTGTCTACAACGAATTTCAGGCACAGACCCAATAGAAATGAAAGGCGGGCACCGGTGGTATAGGCATTGAGGGGGATTGGCAGTCGGACGAGCGCGCGTCCGGCGCCGGGGAGCGACGGATCAAGTGTCTGTCAGCAAACGCATCAAAGTGTCTCCAATCAGGGGACATCTGACTCCGCCTTGAATCTGATTGGACGGTTAGACAGCCCAATGGGCGAATGCTAGACAGTCGTGGTGCGCACGTGCATAAACTAGCGAGAGGGGGAAGTGGACTCGATCGCCGGGACAAGAGCTTTATTAGCCTGACGTTTCTGATTCCTGCTCGAATACATCATCAGATAAAAAAGCAGATACCGGTGGTTCATGAATATGCGGCTGCAGTATTTATAGGATGCAGTAGCCACGCTATCACATACCTATGAATATTCACGGCTCCCCCCCCCTTCATCAGGGATCGTTGTATTTGGCAAGATGGCCGACATTCGCGTCGTTAATTGCTCAATTTAATCGCATGCGTTGGATGTTGGTGTGATGATTGCTCGACCATCTGACGCGCTGACCCGGGTGTTGGGAAGAGTGTTCACCTGTGCGCTCCCCGTGTGGCCAATTACTCCGCCTAGGGAAAGTCTCAGCAGGAAGAATTGAATGGGAAGATCATTGCACTTGCTAATAGACTGGGGGCCAGTAAACCATGACTCAAGCAGTTCCCGGCTCACGCTGTTGTCACCTCTTGCGATAATTTCGGCATCGTCAAATTTGAATGTGTGGACGGAAGCCGTCGAATGAGCCGAACCTTGAGAGCTAGCGTCATTTCTCCACACCGCTACAGCGTGTTCGGCCATTCGCGTTTGCAGTTGTCTTCCAGTTTCTCCGACGAAGTTGCTTTGCCCCCAGCTGCATCAGATCCGATAAACGACTCCAGACGTTTCTTGCCATGGTAGTCGGTCTTTCGGTTTCATTAACTGACACCGGATGATTGTCTCCGGTCTGTGAGCAACTCTAACCCCAAGTGGTGCGAGAAGGCCGCCGACGGCTTCTGAAACGTTCTTGACATAAATAAATACTGCTGCCGCATATGCATGAACCACCCTTATCCGCTTTTGTCGCTGACGATGGACTCGAGCAGGAATCTGAAACGTCAGGCTTATAAAGCCCTTGCCCGTTGATCGTGTCTTGTTCTTCAAGGCGGCTTCCTAGGACTCGAGCTAACGGGAGGCTCTGCGATGCAGCAGACACTCAGGTCAAGGCGACTACATGGTCACTTCGGTGTCATTTACCGAGACAGCTAATTAACATTCGGACGACTATTCTGGGAGTCCAGATGCAGTTCACACGCGTGCGCCCGCTCAATGAATGCGCACAAAAGCATACATAAGAAAGGAAATAAAAGGAGCTTTTCAAGGTAAACCAATGATTTAATTACGTTTACGTCGA